AGTAGACACTGGATATACAATGCCAAGTAAATCAGACATGACCCCTGCCCCCATGGAACTTACAAGGTATTGAGCGGGGACGGAATGTTAGAGAGAGCAAACAAGTAAATAAACCAAGATATAAATATATGTTTGTGATAAGAACCATGAAAGAAAGCTACAGGATGGAATGACAGAAAAAGAGAGAGAACCTGTTTATGGTTATCGGGTTAGGCCTCCCTGAGGAGATGATATTAAGCCCAGCCCTAAGACCAAGTAGCAGCCAGCCCTGCAAAGAGCAGGAGGGAAGAGCAGCCCCTCAGAAGACAGAGCCTGGGGGCCGGCCTGGTGGCACAAGCGGTTAAGTGCGCGCGCCCCGCTGCGGCGGCCTGGGGTTCGCCGGTTCGGATCCCAGGCATACACTGACGCACTGCTTGGCAAGCCATGCTGTGGCGGTGTCCCATACAAAGTGGAGGAAGATGGGCACGGATGTTAGCCCAGGGCCAGTCTTCCTCAGCAAAAAAAGAGGAGGACTGGCAGATGTTAGCACGGGGCTGATCCTCCTCACAAAAAAAAAAAAAAAAAAAGACAGAGCCCTTGCAAAGACCCCAGGAGAACAAGCTCAGCAGGGTGAGGTCCCAGAGAGGAGGCCATGTGACTACAACACCAACTGCAGACAGGGCGGAGTGGCCTGCAGTGAGGCCTGGGTTAGGATGCTGGATTTTATTCTAAGTATAAAAGAAAATCACTGAGGAATAAGAGAAAGGGAGAATGACACGAACAGATTGATGTCTTTTACTTTGAGGAGAACAAGCTATAAAAGGGCTAGAACAGAAGCTAAGGTAGCAGTGCAGACAAAAAATGGTATGAACTTGGAAGCGAAAAGGAAGGTTTGAGGTATTCTGACAGAAGAATTGATAAGACTTGCTCTTAAGGTGAGGTATGAGCAACTAAATACGTGACTAAGATGACAAGGCCAGAGGAAGAAAACAAGTTTGGTGGTGCTGGTGGTGGTAATGGGGTGGGGAGGTTTAGTGGGGAATCAACAACAGTTTTAGACATGATACCTTTGAGATGCCTGTGAGACAGCCAAGAGGATAGGAGGAGAGGGCAGCTGGATGTAACTCAGGGGCTGGGAATCGGGACATACTGATCAAGTTCTTTAAACTGACCAAGATGTTTATAAAATACAACGTAACGGGCCACATCTCAGATCTGCATCAGAGTGACCATGCACATGTACACATTTTTAACATGTTCCAAGGATTCTGATGTCAACTGGAGTCTGAACCACTTCTGTAAACAGATTTTAATGTTACAGCTCTTCACTAGGGACATAACTCTTTATGGAAGAAAACAATACGTTGAGCAGTATGTTAAGATAGTGGTTTGACTTAATAAATCCAGAGCTATGTCATCTCCTCCAGTCATACATTACTGAGGAAACGCTGTTCTAATTAGCCATCCTTTCAAACGACATTTACTAAAGGCCACTCCGAAGGTGAACAATTTCTTTTATAAATATTTTCTTACAAAATACACATGAAATATCTCATAAACGAGTAAATCAAGGTTCAGAAAGGTGGAAAGTCTTGCCCAAAGGGCACACAATCAGTAACAAAGCCAAGACTCAAAAATCAAGATAACACCAATTCCAATCTGCTTTCCACCACATGAAAATGCCACAGAGCTCACGCCCACAAAGCTCACCATCTGTGACATGTCACGTACAAAAATAATTACAAGATAAAATGGGGTGAGTGCCTGAAACAGAAAAGGCAATGAAAGTAAAAGGAAATATTACTCCTTGATTTTCACTACTTAAAAGTTTTATAAACGCAGAGACTATAAATTCCACTCCTCAAAGTATCCACAAAAGCTACTAATAGAAAAAGTATCTGAATCCTACGCAAGGAGTCTTAAGACTCTTCCTAACTCAACGTACTGCCTCTTCACAGACTTTGGGTCTTTAAACAAAAACAAGGCTGCCTGTACAATGGCTTCAAAAGCCCTGTGTAAATCCTAGCTCTTTATCTGCCTAAGGTCATAAAACAAGTCACTAAGAGCTAAACCTCAGGTGTCCCCATCAGCAAAAGGAGGACACAGGGTTTGGGATAAAGAACCTATACACATACTTAATAAATAGTCATTATTATTTATAATTATTACTGGAAGACTATACATATAATATTAACTGAGATTTTATTTTAACATGGAATGTTGGATTTTGCTTCAAGTGTATCCTTCAAACTACCTACCTCAGTACTGTACTACTACTATGTTTCCTAAAATGTTTACAAATCCTCTTTGCTGACTGCCCCTAGACAAGGATCAACCCCCTGACTATCAGCTCAGGGTCACTCTGCATTTCCCTTTTCACAACAGTTCCAATGCTTGCAATTGTTCTTTATCCTAGAGCTAGACTTCAAGTTCCTTGAAGGCAGAAGCTGTGTCTTGTTCATTTCTGATCATTCATTTAGTATCTGAGTACTTACTCTATGTTTGGCACTGATCTAAGTCCTGACAATGCAGCAGTGAACAAAATAGTCTCTGCTCTCTTAGAGCTTATATTATAACAAGAGAGACATTAAGTTAATAAATATATATCAATTAGTGATAAATGCTATTAAATATAAAGGAGGGTAGGAGGGCTAAGAAGTATTGTAGGAGCTAGGAAGTGGCTATTTTACATAGGTTATCAGGGAAAGCCTCACATATAACTAAATCTGAAATAGGTGGAACAAGTCACACAGATATCTGGAGGGGAGGAGTCATCTAGACAGAAGGGGAAGACCAAGTGCAAAAGCCCTGCAGCAGGAACACAGTTATTGTGCAGAAAAAATCTAAGGCGGCAAATGTGTGGGAGGGGGAGGGGGGTAGAGACACAAGGGATGGCAGGCTCTGAGAGCAGAAGAGTGCCATGATCAGACAAGTTTTTAAAGAATCACTCAGACTTCTGTACGGAGAATAGAGAATAAAGAATGGAAGCTATGAATCTCATTAGAACGCTGCAATAATCCAGGGCAGATATATTGGTGGCTTTACCAAGGGAATGATGATGACAATTAGCTGAATTCTAGTTAGATTTTGAAGACAGAACCACAAGCCTTGGGGCCGGTCCAGTGGTGTAGTTAAGTTCGAGCACTCCGCTTCGGCGGCCCGGGGTTCACCAGTTCGGATCCCTGTGGAGGACCTACGCACTGCTCATCAAGCCATGCTGAGGCGGCATCTGATGTACCAAATAGAGGAAGCCTGGCACAGATGTTTGCTCAGGGCCAATCTTCCTCACAAAAACAAAGGACCACAAGATTTGTTGATGAACTGGATGTGAAGAGAGAGAGAGAGAAGAATCAAGGAGAGCTTTTAAAAGGTTTAGGAAGAGCAGTGTTGCCATTAACTGAGGCAAGAAAGTCAGAGAAGCAATTTTACTTTCCCAGAACCCAGCAAATTGCCCAGTGCACAGTAGACACTCAAATATTTATTTGTGAATTAAATTCAACTGAATAAACTCCCAAAATGAAGCAGTAAATTCAATGTATTGCTTTCCATTTGCTCTAATTTCCTTTAGTACTGTTTGTTAATTATACCAAGGGACTTAGCCACTAACACAGTTCACGTGCTAACATAAAAACCTTACACGGGGACACAGCAACTAATCCTCACATCCCAAGAACCAGTTTCACTTTTATAGTACAATCCTCCTGGATATAAGAGAAATTTGCTATGAAAGCTCTGTGACAGCCTGAGGATTCTTACACCCAAAGTAATTAACCTGTTCATTAATGATGTCATGTTCCTGGAAGGTAGAAAAGTGCAAACAGAACTCTCTAGGCCAGAATTAATTGAAAATTATAACACTTCAAGATAAATTTCCAGAATGGGACAAGAATGAACAAGTCCCCTAAAAAAGTACATTTTTAAAAAATGGCTTTTTTACCGCATCTCTCTTCCACATTAGTGACCACAATGCCCCACCCTAACCTAATACGTTTAAAAAAAAAAAATGCGCTTACAACTTGCAGTGAAAATATAGCTTAAAAACCTAAATCATTCGGAGAGCTGATCGTACTGAATTCAGCAACAGGCAGTACCTTCCTTTTCCCTATCAGTAAAAGGCCTTGAACCAAGGCCTTTTACAGATAAAACAAATCTGCTGAAATGCCAGCCAGACTCCCCGTACCTCCCCCGCTCCCTCCCCACAAAGCTGGCCTGGCAACAGTACAGCCACGGACCACGGAGAACAGAAAAGAACGAGTGGCGAGGAAAAACAATGGTTCTAGAGGCAGGAAGGTTAAGAGCCAGGATTTCAACCACCACCTATTCCAGCGAGGAAGCGCCCGGACGACCCACAAATACATTCCCAACAGAGCGGCACGCATTCTTCCCCCGCTCCGAAGGCTCCGCACGCGGATCAGAGGCGAGGAGGAGGGTGGGGACTCCCCGGAGAGGAGGAGGGGGAACCGCCTAACCGCCTGGGGTGAAGGGAGTGCCCAGGGGGTGCCCGGCGCCCGAGGAACGGAGCGCAAATAAGCACGCGTGCCAAGGATGCAGGCGGCGTCCCCTTAGGAGCAGCACGCTGGGCGCCTTCCCCCAAACGCTAAGGGCAGGGAACCACTGGGCTCTACCCGAGCGGAAAGGCTGGAAAGGGTACAGGCTCGCGACCCCCCAAGAATGGGCCTAGGGAGAGACCATGTGCCAGGAAACCGGTTGGGCGCACGGGGGCGGGCGGGGGGGGGGGCGCAGCTGATCCGTTTCGCTTGTCATCACAGAACTAGGGGAAGCCCTAGAGCCAGAGGAGAGTGGGGAGTCAGGGTAGGGGAGAGGAGCACGACAGCGAGCGAGGCTTCGGGCCCCGAGGCGGCGGGGACGCGGGATGGTGGGGCGCGCGCCCCGGGAAGAGGAAGAGGGCGCGACCCCGGCCCGGAGCCAGGGAGGCGCGCGCCCGGCGGCCTCGGGAAACCCGGCGCGTCCCCGCCCGCGGGCAGGGGCAGGAGCCACCCTCTCCCCGCCCCCACACTCACCATGTAGAGGGTGAAGGGCAGGCCGAGCAGAAAGAGCCACAGGTAGAGGTGCAGCGCGTTCACGAAGGTGGCCTGGTGCGGGTCGTAGTACCAGCCCCCGCTGAGCGCGGCCCACACCCCCTGCCGGAGGATCTGCAGCGTCTGCGACCCCATCCCCACCCGGCGCCGCCGCCGCCGCCGCCGCCGCCGTCCCCGCCCCGGCCCCAGCTCGGCCTCGGTCGCCAGAGCCCGCCGCTGCCCCGTCTATCCCCCTCCGGAGCTCCGGGAGAGCGGGCCGGCGCTCCGGCGGTCGCTAGGGCTGCTGCTGGAGGAGGAGGAGGCGGCGAACGAGGAGGAGGAGACCGGGGAGGAGGCGGCGAGCGGCGGGGCGGAGGAGAGCGGAGGAGAGGAGGAGACCGGCCTCCACAGCGCCGCCGCCATCTTGTCTCCTAAC